ATGTGACTATATTCGAAGATAAGGTCTTTAAAGAGGTAATTAAGTTAAAATAAGGCTGTCAGAATGAAGGACAAGAACCATATGATCATTTCAATTGATGTTGAAACAGCATTTGATAAAATTCAACATTGCTTCATGATAAAAACCCTAAAAAAAAAAAACTAGGAGTAGAAGGAAAATACCCCAACATAAAAAAAGCCATATATGATAAACCCACAGCTAGTACCATACTGAATGGGGAAAAACCGAAAGCCTTTCCTTTAAGATCTGGAACACAACAAGGATGCCCACTTTCACCACTGTAATTCAACACAGTACTAGAAGCACTAGCTAGAGCAAGCAGACAAGAGAAAGAAAGAAGGGCTATCCAAATAGAAAAGGAAAAAGTCAAATTATCCTTATTTGCATATTATTGATCTTATATCTGGAAAAAACCATTAGAACTGATCAATTCAGTAAAGTTCCAGGATGCAAAATCAACATACAAAATCAGTAGCATTTCTATATGTTAACAGTGAACAATCTGAAAAAGAAACTTAAGAAGTAATCCCATTTATAGTGGTCAGGCACGGTGGCTCATGGCTGTAATCCCAACACTTTGGGAGGCCAAGGCAGGCGGATCACCAGGTCAGGAGATCAAGACCATCCTGGCCAACATGGTGAAATCCCATCTGTACTTAAAAAAAAAAAAAAAAAAAATTAGCTGGGTGTGCTAGTGTACACCTGTAGTCCCAGCTACTCAGGAGGCTGAGGCAGGAGAATTGCTTGAACCCAGGAGGTGGAGACTGCAGTGAGCCGCGATTGCATCACTGCACTACAGCTGGGTGACAGTGTGCGACTCCGTCACACCGTCACACACACACACACACACAAAGTAATCCCATTTATAATAGCCACAAATAAATTAAATACCTAGGAATTAATTTAACTAAAGAATGAAAGACCTCTATAATGAAAACCATAAAACACTGAAAGAAATTGAAGAGGACACCAAAAAATGGAAAGATATTTCATGTGCATGGATAGGAAGAATCAATATTGGTTAAAATGTCCATACTACCCAAAGCAATCTACAGATTTGATGCAAACCCTATCAAAACGTCAACGACATTCTTGACAGAAATAGAAAAAACTGTCCTAAAATTTAAATGGAACCATCAAAGACCCAGAATAGCCAAAGCTACCCTAAGCAAAAACAACAAAACTGGAGAAATCACATTAACTGACTTCAAATCTTCCAATTATACAACAGAACTACAGTAACCAAAGCAGCATGTTTTCAGAATAAAAGCAGACACACAAACCAATGGAACAGAATAGAGAACCAAGAAACAAATCCACATACCTACAACGAACTTCATTTTCAACAAAGATACCAAGAACATATACTGAGGAAAAGACAATCTCTTCAATAAACAGAGCTGTGAAAACTGGATATCCATATGCAGAAGAATGACATTGGAACCCTCTCTCTTGCCATATGCAAAAATCAGCTGAAAATGGATCAAAGAATTAAATCCAAGACCTTCAACTGTGAAATTGCTACAAGAAAACTTTGGGGAAACTCTCCAAGACATCAGTCTGGGCAAGGAGTTCTTGAGTTAATACTCTATAAGCACAGGGAACCGAAGCAAAAATGGAAAAATGAGATCACATCAAGTTAAAAAACCTGCTCAGCAAAGGAAACGATCTACGAAGTAAAGAGACAACCCACAGAACGGGAGAAAACATTTGAAACTATCCATGTGACAAGGAATTAACAGAATACATCAAAAGCTCAAACAACTCTATAGGAAAAAAATTTAATAATCCAATTAAAAATGGGCAAAACATTTGAATGGACATTTCTCAAAAAAAAAAAAAAGAGAGACATACGAGTGACAAACAGAAATATGAAAAGGTGCTCGACACTGTTAATTATCAGAGAAATGCAAATCAAAACTACAATGAGATATCATCTCATCCCAGTTCAAATGGCTTATATCCAAAAGACGGGCAATCCAAATTCTGGCAAGGATGTGGAGAACACATACTGTCAGTGGGAATGTAAATTAGTACAACCACTATATGGAGAACAGTTGGAAAGTTCCTCAAAAAAAAAAAACACTTAAAAATAGAGCTACCATATAATCCAGCCATCCCACCGCTGGGTATATACCCAAAAGAAAGGAAATCAGTATTTCAATTTTCCAGTGTTTGTTGCAGCTCTGTTCACAATGGCCAAGATTTGGAAGCAACCTAAGTGTCCCTCAACAGATGAGTGGATAAAGAAAATGTGGTTCTTATACACAACGGAGTACTATTCCGCCATTAAAAAGAATGAGATTCAAGGCCGGGTGCGGTGGCTTAAGCCTGTAATGCCAGCACTTTGGGAGGCTGAGGCGGGTGGATCACGAGGTCAAGAGATCGAGACCTCCTGGTCAACATGGTGAAACCCCGTCTCTACTAAAAAAAAAAATACAAAAAATTAGCTGGGCATGGTGGTGCGTGCCTGTAATCCCAGCTACTCAGGAGGCTGAGGCAGGAGAATTGCCTGAACCCAGGAGGGGAAGGTTGCGGTGAGCCGAGATCACGCCATTGCACTCCAGCCTGGGTAACAAGAGCGAAACTCCGTTTCAAAATAAATAAATAAATAAATAATGAGATTCAGTCTTTTGCAATAACATGGATGGAACTAGAGATCATTATGTTAAGTGAAATAAGCCAAGCACAGAAAGAAAAACACTGCATGTTCTATTTGTGGGATCTAAAAATCAGAACAATTGAACCCATGGAGAGAGACAGTTGAATGATGGTTACCAGAGGCTGGGAAGGGTGGAGGGGGAATCGGAGGATGGGAGAGGGTAAGAATGGTTAATGAAGAGATGGTTAATAGTCATGTTTAAAAAGACCTTCTGATCACCATTTTGCAACTGTAATAATTGTTTCAAGCAAGAATCAGCATGGATTCTAAAACCAGTGGGTAAGAGTCTGATGAAGAACAGGATATTTAAATAGCCTCAAAATATCTTCCCACAAGATACTTAATAGTTACAAAAGGAAAAATCGTCACTTTATGGTGGAGTGTACCTCCCCCTACACAACCTCAACCAGATGACAGAAGTTAACACCATGAACACTGGGACAAATGCAACGTCATGTGCCTCCTGATGAAAGGCCCTGCGGAGGCAACTCTTTTCAATAATATTTCTGCCAGAAAATGCAAACCCTCACCCTCTCAGAATAGCAAGGGATGGGTAGGTGTTGGGGGAGGGGGGATGCATACTCTGAATGTGATCGTAAGAAAACATCAGAATCAAAATTTAGGGACATTCTATAACATAACTCACCAGTACTCTTCCAAAATGTCAAGGTCATGAAAGACGAAGGCTGGATAACTGCCCTTCCAGATTAAAGGAAACTAAAGAGGCATGACAACTCAGTGCAACGTGTGATCCTGAACTGGTTCCTGGGGAATAGCTATAAAGAACATGATTGAAACAATCAGCAAAATTTAAATATACATGGAGTGTATTAAATAAAACAATTGTATCATTGTTAAAATTCTTGACTTTTGGTCACTGTACTGAGATTATGCAAGATAATGCCTTTTTAAAAGAAAACACACATAAATATTTGGAATAAAGAAGCTTGTTGGAAACTCTAAAATGATGTCGTAAAAAAAGAATACATACATTATATAAGTGTGTGTGTGTGTGTGTGTGTGTGTGCACGTGCCTGTGCGCGTGAATATATACCATATACTGATTCCCTGTCTTTTCAGGTATAAACCATATGGATATCCACACACAATATGTGTGTGTGTGTGTGTGTGTGTGTGTGTGTGTGAGAGAGAGAGAGAGAGAGAGCGAGAGCGAGAGAGAGAGAGAGAGAGAGAGAGAGAGATGGAAATGCAGCAAAATATAGTAATTTGCTATTCTGGTGAAAAAGTATATGATCTTTATGATTGTTGAAATTTGTGTGTAAATTTGAAATTTAATCACAAAAAAAATTAGAGGCTTTCAGCGACCACGCTATCAGAAACAGCCTGTCCCCAACGAGCACTCTTCAGCGCATGCTTTTTCTCCATCACACTTATCACTAGCAAAAATTATCCTTTTTTTTTTTTTTTTTTTTTTTTTTTTTGAGACGGAGTTTTGCTCTTGTTACCCAGGCTGGAGTGCAATGGCGCGATCTCGGCTCACCGCAACCTCCGCCTCCTGGGTTCAGGCAATTCTCCTGCCTCAGCCTCCTGAGTAGCTGGGATTACAGGCACGCACCATCATGCCCAGCTAATTTTTTGTATTTTTAGTAGAGACGGGGTTTCACCATGTTGACCAGGATGGTCTCGATCTCTCGACCTCGTGATCCACCCGCCTCGGCCTCCCAAAGTGCTGGGATTACAGGCTTGAGCCACCGCGCCCGGCAAAAATTATCCTTTAATACTTAACATTACTGTGTGTAAGGCTGTCCCAAGTGCTTTATCTGTATAATCTCTGTGAATCTTCTTACAGGTGAGAAAAAAAACACAAGGTTGATCAACTTGCCCAAGGCCACCCACGTGGTTCGTCTCCTGCAGTGACACAGAACCTCAACCAAGCCTGAAACTGCCTTGTCTACTGCTCTTTCCCCAGCGACTTAGAACAGTGCCTAGCACATTACAGGTGTTCAATAGATACCGGTAGATCAAGTTAACAAACACTGGGCACCCACTAGGCCTACATTGTAATACAAAGTACAGAACAAAATACTCAAAAATCGGTGCCTAAATGGAGCTTTGAGTATTAACTCAGCCCCACACCCAATTAGCCTCTACCTATGTATTTCATTTGGTTCTATCATTCTTGAGAATTAAGACCCATTTAATCTATTTTTCAGAGAATCATCAGATAAAGGATGCTCAGGGTGTGGCAATGATTTGCATAAGATCATTGGGCGGTAAGAGGGTTGGTCAGGATTCCAACCCACTCCCTAACGTTCTCAGACCCGAGCTATGAATCAAACGACCAAGACAATCACCCTATCAGTATTTATTAGGCGCCTACTGCGGACGGTTGGTCTTCACGCAGGGCAGGCGAGAAGAAGGGGTCGTGGTGCGCGGGCCGCTGCGGAGACCGGGAGGCCGCCGCGGATCACGGGAATTTGGCGCCTATTTTTTGTTGGCTGGGTGTTCTCGCCGGTGATTGGGCCCCGGCGAGGCGTGCTGGTGCGCTCGGCTGCGGCTGCTCCGTCGACCTTGGCAGACCCGGGCGGCGCAGGACTCACTCGGCTGGCCTCCCAGGGGATGGGCCACCAGGAGTCTCCGCTGGCCCGGGCGCCGGCGGGAGGTGCAGCTTATATAAAGAGGTTATGTAAAGGGCTCAGCTGGCGCGAACACGTGGAAAGCCAAGGGAGCCTAGGAGCCCAGGCCTCCCCAGCGAGCGCCGCGGCAGCAGCAGAAGCACCGGCCGCACGTCGGACTCGGGTCACCGCCTCCCGCGCAGCTCGGTCCCGGAGGCAGCCCCGGCGCGGAGCGGACCATCCCCAGGCAGGGGCTCCGGGGGTGAAACGGACTGCCCGGAAGTGGAGGTGCGCGGGCCAGGTAAGGGTGCCGTTCGAGGACTGAAGGGCCAGCACCGAGGCTGGAGTTACTGCCACTGCCTCCGCGCTCGAGGAGGGCAGTCGGGTTCCTCGGCCGGTAGCGCTCCGAGAAACCGAACTTTTTAGCCTATCTCTTCTACCCGCCGCCCTCGGGGACTTGGGTCGGTCCGCGGGGCTCCGCTAGGGCTTAATTCAATGGACTGTTTACACCCGGGCGAACACAAGGCGGGGCGCGGGGAGGGGCGTCACGGTGGGGCCCGGGCAAAGAAAAAGTTTTCCGCTGGCCTAATCGCACCTTAAGGCGGTTTTCAGAAGGCGTTAAGCTTGCTGGGTCTTCTTTTTCTTATCGTTACACGACGAACTCACAGAAAGAGGAGAGTTTGTGCTTTTCTTTCCGGTTCTCCCTCTGAGCCGCGGCCCAGTGGTTCCGTCTTTCCCGCTTTCCCCTCTCCTCCCCCGTTCAATCAGCGGCGGTGGCTTCCGTCTTAAAGGGGCCGCGGCGGCCGGGGGAGGAGGAGGTGGGACGCTCCGCGGCCTACTCTCCTGGCCCCCCCGTCTCGGCCTGGTCGTTTAACCGATTCTTTGGCCCGCAGGTCACAATCCAAGGTCCCGCTCCTCCGCGTCCCGGGGCCGGACGGAGGGATGAGGCAGGGGGGGCCCGGGCAGCGCCGTTGCTGCTCCCCCCGCCGCCCGCAGCCATGGAAACGGGGAAGGACGGCGCCCGTAGAGGTACACAAAGCCCGGAGCGGAAAAGGCGAAGCCCAGTGCCGCGGGCGCCCAGCACGAAGCTGAGGCCGGTGGCGGCGGCCCAGGCCATGGATCCGGTGGCGACCGAGGCCTACCTAGCGCGGCGACGGCCGGAGGGCGGCGGCGGGTCCGCGCGGCCGCGCTACAGTCTGTTGGCGGAGATCGGGCGCGGCAGCTACGGCGTGGTTTACGAGGCAGTGGCAGGGCGCAGCGGGGCCCGAGTGGCGGTCAAGAAGATCCGCTGCGACGCCCCCGAGAACGTGGAGCTAGCGCTGGCTGAATTCTGGGCCCTCACCAGCCTCAAGCGGCGGCATCAAAACGTCGTGCAGTTTGAGGAGTGCGTCCTGCAGCGCAACGGGCTAGCCCAGCGCATGAGTCACGGCAATAAGAGCTCGCAGCTTTACCTGCGCCTGGTGGAGACCTCACTGAAAGGTAGGAGCACCGCGGGCCTTTGCACACTTGCAAGGCCTGGATCCTCTGCTCTCCGGACGGTTTGGCCCACATTGTTCCCGGCCCCCCTAGGCCTCAGACCTGGTTCCTGTCACCCTGTGCCCGGACACACCCTCCTTTCCTAGGCGCAGGAACTCGGCCCTCTTTTCAGGTCTCAGGATCAGTTTCTGGGCCTAACGTTGGCTGGTATTTTAATAACAAGAGCTTAAGTGCTAACCATTAACTTAATGGGTGCTCAATAATTGTGAGCTATGGTTATTAAATGTCTGCTACCTTTTTAGATCGGTCAGGGAGTGGAAGAGGGGTTGGGTTCAGTTAGTAGCAGAACTGCGGAGCCCAGTCACCCTCTAGGGTCTCTCTCTCCCCCCCCCCCAAAACGAACAAAAAGAAAAAACTTCACTGGACCCACCCACACCCTCTCCCTCTCTGGTTCCAAGTTTCCTAACACCCTCCAGCTCCCACCCCCAAACTCTTGTGGCCTCCTAGTCTGCCTTTTCCTCTGAGGCCCCCAGCCCTTCATCCCAGGCAGCCAAGCAAACTGGCGGTTTTCTAGCTTGGTCCTCCGAGGCATGCAGGCTGACAGCCCTCACAGGTGGCCTGAGAGCCATCACATAACAAAGCATCCAACATCTATTCCCTTTGTTTTACAATCTTAATCTTTTTCTTAACCTCAGAGGCTGGCTGGGAAATGGTTTTACTTAGAAGGAAAATGGGGTTCATTGAGGCAAGAGGTCTTCCAGTCCTGAAAGAACTAATCGCCTTAATTTCTCGGTTTTCACTGCATTTAGGGAACGTGTTCATTCTAACTACTCAGTACCCACAAGCCTTGTTCATACTACTACTATTAGCTAGATGTCTGCAGGGAGAGGAAAGGGGCAGTGGGAAGTTTGAGGAGTCTCTGAGGCAGGAGGATCCAGGGGAAGAAAGTTGACTAATCTGAGTCCCAGCTGTGGTCTTAGCGCTGAAGTAATTTTTAGGTAATAACTTCAAAAGTAAATTCTGTCCTCTTTCTATAAATAGAGAAACTAGGCTTAGAAGTGAACAAATAACTTGATCAGGGTTAATCCTCTTGAAAGGGAAGTTAGACTGTGCTCCTGTTTCCTTAGGTTTCTCAGAGCTTTAGTGATGGGGAACCCAGATCTGTCTTGATTCAAGGCCTGGGTCCTTTCAAAGGTGTAATGCTGTTCTCCCTACCCTGAGGATGAACTTTTAAGAATGGGTAGGATTTGGAGTGAGTTTGGAGGGAGTGGTCTCCTAAAATCTTCTTTGGAGCTTTTGCCCAACTGAAAGATCCCACAAGCCTTTCCCAAGAGAATACTTTTTGTCCCGTTGCAAGTCAGTTGTTTGACAGTGGAATTGGAAGCATGAATCAGTAGCACCTAGATTCCTTTAAACAGATGTCTACCTTTATGTCCATCCCTGCCCCATCCATTCTGAGAAGCCCACCCTCTCCGCAGCGTGAGTGATTTTGTTTTGAAAAGACGTCCAGCAGGGCACAGTGGCTCACAACTAATCCCAGCACTTTGGGAGGCAGGAGGATGGCTTGAGCCCAGGAGTTTGAGACCAGCCTGGGCAACAAAGGGAGACCCTGGTCTCCACAAAAAATAAAAAAAAAAAAACTAGCCAGACATGGTGGCACAGGCTTATAGTCCCAGCTACTCAAGAGGCAGAGGCAGGAGGATCGCTTGAATCTGGGAGGTTGAGGCTACAGTGAGCCATGATCCTGCAGCGGCACTACAACCTGGGCTACAGAGCAAGACCTGTTTCCAAAAAAAAAAAGGCTCCCCGGGGGATTCTTTTCTTACTTATATTCTAGGAGTGCATCACTTATTTCCAAGTCCTTCCATTCTCAGACTGTCTTCTCTACTGCCAATGAACGGTCTGGACTTCCTACCGTAAGATTGCTTGATGTGGGAATTTCCTTTGCCAAATGTTTACTTCTTGTGTCCTCAGTTCATTGATGCCCGTCTCGAACCTTCAACCTCAGTTTGATGCTCTTGCTTACTCTCTCAACATATAAATACTGTGTAGACTTTCCTCACCCGAAGGATTTGTCAGAATTCCACAGTGACTCATGGCAGCCTTGCATAGTGGTTGGTACCATGGACTTTGGGGTTAGACCCTCTGTTTCATCCCAGGACTGACCACACAAAACATGGAGCAAATTGTTCAAACCCTATGAGGAGCGTTCCTTTACTGTAAGATAGTGGGTGTGTACCTATGACATTAGGTACATAGGGTCACTGTACAAACGACTAATGTCAGCAAGTGCTCACATGGGGAGGAATTCGCTGCCTCAGATCAGTTTGCACCATGTTCTGTACTCTTCTACCCTCACCCCCTTCAAGTTTCCCAAACTTGTTTCACCACGAACACACGTTATTTTCTGTCTTGTCAGGCACACCAAGTTGACAGAAACACTGGCGTGTTCGTCCTCTGTTTGTACTAAAACTGAGACCTAGAAGAAGGAAATCATTTGCTTTGGCGGCGTACTGGATATGCCCCTTTCGGTTGTTTGGCGTTTTCAAAATATTTGAACCACTGGTGTTCAGGGCTCAGAGACAGAGTAGTGAAGAAAATGTGCATTGTTTCTGCTTATGAAAATGACACTTGCCATGCGTTGATTTTTTAAGTAGTAAATCGGTAATCGTTTTTGCTTGTTAATATTAAAATAGGAAAGACCGAAATTACTCCAAGTTAAATTTTCCTTACTTGAGATTCCAAAGCGATCTTGATCTGTCCTGGGGCCCTGGGTTTACAGCATGCAGATACCATCCAGTAATGTTAGAACTGGAAGGAATCCTAGAGATAACCTGGTTCTGCCTCATTAGACAGAAAAGTCCTTTGCAGCCGCCCATGGCCCTGCCTCCTGCAACTCAGAATGATTTTGAAACAGGCCAAAAAGTGGGAATCTGTCTTAAAGTCTCAACTAAACCAAATGCTGGGTCCCTGCTGTGCTATTTTTAGGGAAAGAAAAGGCAAAGCAAAACACACCACTCCTTCCCCCAAAGGAACTTAGATTTGAAAAGTTTGAGAACTAGAAGAAGACTTAAATGCTATTCAGGATCACTGGAGGAAATGACCAGTCAACTCATTAGCAAGGGCTTTGTGCAGAACTAAGAGGATTGGGAGAAGATGGGCTTGAAAGTAGGGTGCCTAGGATTGTGGATAGACAAGAAACAAAGTGAATCTGTTTCACTATTTGGACAGTAAAATAATCTAGTATCAAAAAGAGAAATGCCTTGAAATGCCGTTCTTGGTCTTACTCCGTTTGTTTGGTTTGATAAACTTAAATGCATTGTCTCCTTCCGTTCTGTGCACAGACCAAACAAGTCCTGCCCAGAAAAATTCAGACAGCAGAAGTTTTGGAGGAATAGAAAGAGGTCTTAGATGTGTGACCTGGCTGTCTGATTCACAGGAAAAAAACAAACCCAGAAAAGGGACAAAACTTTATCCGCAGTGAGTTAGTGACAGCACTCAAACCGGCCTCCCAGCTTTTAAAAACCGTATTAACAATCCTGTAAATTATTTGTTTGATGGGTGGGTACCTATGTCTTATAAAGAGAGGAGTGAAGGCAACAACAGTTTGCTTTTACCCCTTGTTTTCCATTGCTAGAGGGCCCGTGCTGTATGCGCCTAAAACAAAGTTCAAGATTACTTAGCAGGCAAGCCAGAGTCCCTGTCAATCTCAGAAATTCTGTTGCCTTAAGGCACACATTGCTTCTTGTAACAAATAGCAAGTGAGGATACACACACAAACCCCGGACAAACTCAAGACTCATACAACAGAATAGTTAGAAGTTTGGAAGAGCTGGCGCCTAGCTTATACTCAACTTGATAAATACTAATTGTTCTTTACCAATTCTGCTTTACCAATTGATTGATATTCATGCCTCTAGGTGACTGGGAACCAAGGCCTTGGAAGGTGATCTTGCCTGCACACTAGGTGGCTTCGAGCCAGGCTACTACTATATTAGAAGAGGCTACACAGAGTTTTCTCCGTGAGGCATGCAGAGAGAGGACTCATGCCCACAGGAACATAATGCAGGGTCACAAGTGGTAGCATCCTAGCAAATGGTAACAGTTCTCTGGGAGTTTAGTTGTGGGCATTGGGGAAGCAGGGAAAGGAAGTAGCTGAGGGGGAACTATAATAGTATGGGAGAGACCAGGGTCTTAGCAGTAGACAGGTTGTCAAGTGGCTACAAAAGCTCAGAGCAGAGCAAGGCCATTCCTTCCCTGGCCCTTAGAAAGCAACTCTGAATCCTCTTCTGTGGCTTGGGCCTCAGAGTTTACAGAGCCCCCAGGTCAAGAGGCAGAGAGCTGGCTGGCATTGGGGAAACGTAAGTTAATGGGATACAATAGAATGCTAGACTCCGAGTCAGAAGGTTTTAGTCCCAATTTCACCCTGTAAATAAGAGCTGAAACTTGCAAGTTGCTATGTATCAGGTGAAGTCAGTACTGTGATTATCTTCATTGTACAGTTGAGACAACTGAAGCCCCGAGGTTAATGAAATTGCCCAGTGTAAAACAGCTAGGCAAGTAAAGTCAGGATTCAAGCCTAGACATTCAAACTTGAGTATGCTTCCTTAACTGCTGTGGGATACTCCTGGGACAGGTGACTTAAGTTCTAGGTTTTTCTGTTTTTCTTGGTTGTAAAATGGGCATAGTCATATTTTACTCAGAAACTGATGGCTCAGGCCGGACACGGTGGCTCATGCCTATAATCACAGCACTTTGGGAGGCCGAGGTGGGCAGATCACCTGAGTTCAGGAGTTCGAGACCAACCTGGCCAAAGTGGTGAAACCTTGTCTTACTAAAATACAAAAAATTAGCCAGGCATGGTGACAGGCACCTACCTGTAGTCTCAGCTACTCAGGAGACTGAAGCAGGAGAATGGCTTGAACCTAGGAGGCGATGAGCCAAGATCGAATCAGTGTACTCCAGCCTGGGTGACAGAGCAACTCTGTCTCAAAAAAAACAAA